AATGTACAGCCGGCAAGTTAGCAGACACCACAGAGGATTGAACGGTATAAGGGCAATACTATTCATGTCCTGAACTGTGATTCTACATGGCTATGATATCTACTAGAACGCAGTTTCACTTACAATGTGAATGTAATGTCATATGAGACGACTTTGTATAAATGTCACCTAGACTGATCTCGTAGTCACCTTGAGTTAGGTATTTACTTGAAATTACCTTATAGTCACCATGATTAACAAATTTACTATATTACCATCTGCTAAATATCCTATCAGGCTACTATGATCGTTTGCCACCATGAATCATAATCATGTGTCATAGTTACCAACAGTCCTTATCACTATGAATTGATTACTGTCAACGTAATCCAGATTTATTATGATTCAAAATACAAAAAAACAAAAACAAACAAAAAAAACATACAGCCATAATATCTGTCAACATTCATTAACTCAAAAGTAAATCACAGTGATCAAGAATCATGACTGGCAAGTGACATAGTAACCACAGGAGAAAGTCACTCTCAATCATAGTTGACATGAGCCAAAGTTACCAAGAAGCAGAATTACCACGAGCTTATAATTACGAGTTATAGACGAGTTATAGTTACCATGAGCTATAATTAAGACGAGTTACCAAAAATCATAGTCACAAATATTTACAGTTACCATAAGTCATAGTTGCTATAAATCATAGCTACCATAACCGCCAGTATGTATGTACATCACAGGCTTCATGTACCATAGTTAGTATGAGTCAGAACTACTGCGAGACATAGTTACTATGGGACATCGTTCCTATGACTCTTAATCCCAAAAAGGCAAAGTTACTTTACATGATCATTTCCGTATGTCACAGTCACCATAATACGACTACAGACCATTACAGCAATGTTAGCGTGATCCAACATAACGTCAACAGCAAGGTCATGAAGATTGCATTATACGTTAGCTGACAAGAGGTGATAGCTAGAAGGCAGGTCAACAGCAAGGCGACGCCGAAGGAATACTCACTTCCCACTAGTGGGCTCTGATGTCTTTAAAGACTTAAAGGCTTTCATCCACTTGGTCTTCATACTTCCTCCGCTTGAGTTAGACATCTTCCTCTCTCGGCCCTCAGCCCCTCCCCCGTCTTTTGACGCGAATAACTCTTTCTGCAAAAGAAGACAAAGGAAAACAACATGTCAGTTATGTAGTGTTTGGCTACCTTCAGGGAAGTAGATCATTCTTAAATATATTCTGCAAATAAGAGATGAGATTGTTCTAAAAACACTAAAATTCATCACAGATTCTCCTTACTTATCCCTGATGTCCACACTATACATTATAGATACACATGTGGAATGCGCACACACACACACAAACACACACACACATACACACTAATTTCGTAGTTAATTATATATACAAGAAGCATTTTTGGTGCATACTTCCCTTTATTTGTTCATATCAGTTTCAAGAATTTATCGAATACGCAGTTTTTGTTCCTAACAGAAATAGCTCGAAGACCTCACTCTAACCCTCCCTTCCTAGTCTCTCTCTTCTTTTCCTTTTGCTTTTAACTGCGCCTCTAGAGTTACCTCCGTCCTTCCCCTGACCTTGCCTATTATTCAACTTCCCCTCCTCCCGTTCCCCCTCGCCCCTCTCTCTAATTTGCCCGCTACTAGCTCCATCATTAGCCACACTACCTCTGACCTTCCTCTCCCATTTAGTGCAACATTGAAGTAATGTGTAGCTTGAAATAACACACCAAAGCACCTCGAGTGACGCGTCCCGGATGGTACCATGAAAGGGAGACTCACACCTTGATCTCACCAACACGAGAGAGGCACCACACAAAGGACAAGTTAAGTGCTAAGTTGTGTCGACCACATATTCTTAATTTCCACAGCTGTGTTGGTGTCACCCCTCTGTCGCCCTCCCTCTCCTCCTCCTCCTCCTCCTCTTGCAGTTCCCTTCCTTTTTCCTCACCTACTTCTCTTCTTGAGCCTTCCCCTCTTCCCCTTCTTCTTTTCCTTACTCCCTACTTCTTCCATCTCACCCCCCCTCCTCCTCTTCCTCTTCCTCTTCCTCCTTCCCCTCCTTCTCTTCCTCCTCTTCCTCTTCATCCTTCTCCCCTCTCCTCCTCCTCCTCCTTTCGCCCTTCACCTCTTCCCATTCGTCCTCCTCCTCTTTTCGCCCTTCACCTCTTCCCATTCCTCCTCCTTCTCCTCCTCCTTTCGCCCTTCACCTCTTCCCCCCCCTCCTCCTCCTCTTCCTTTCGCCCTTCACCTCTTCCCCCCCTCCTCCTCCTCCTCTTCCTCCTTTCGCCCTTCACCTCTTCCCTCTCCTCTTCCCCCTCCTCCTCCACCTCAGCACGCCTCATTGCCTCCTAGTTCATCGAGGTAACTCCACCGCTTATGTTGATGAGCTGCATGTATATGTAGTTGTGGAGGGGCATGTATGTTAGCATACGTGTGTGATTCTGTATGTTAGATTCCCACGTGTGCTTGTAGGTGTG